CTTCTAGAATAAAATGTAAACATACCAAAGCACCTCGGTGTCGGGCCTGGCATGGCCAGGTGGTTAGGACACTCGACTCGTAATCTAAGGGTCGCGGGTTCGAATCCCCGTCACACCAAACATGCTCGCCCTTTCAGCCGTGGGGGCGTTATAATGTGACGGTCAATCCCACTATTCGTTGGTAAAAGAGAAGCCCAAATATTGGCGGTGGGTGGTGATGACTGGCTGCCTTCCCTCTAGTCTTACACTGCTAAATTAGGGACGGCTAGCGCAGATAGCCCTCGTGTAGCTTTGCGCGAAATTCAAAAACAAACAAACAAACAAACAAAAAACCTCGGTGTCGAAGACAATTCCACGGTGAAACGACTTTTTTATTAATAAGGTTCGGTAATTTTTAATTACAAAAGAAAATTTATTAGTCACTAAGTAACTTTTCTCGAAAGATCTCACAACTTACAGGCTGAGATTTTATTGAAAAGGGTTTGATTTGAATTTCGCGAAAAGCTACACGAGAGCTGTCTGTGCTAGCCGTCTCTAATTTAGCAGTGAAAGACAAGAGGAAGGCAGCTAGTCAATACCAGCGTGTTCGGTGAGTGGCGGGTTCGAATCCCTTAACCACAGGATTATTTTTTGTCATATATTTTAGAGAAGAGGGCTATTTTTGGCTTTAATGTTAGAAAACCCGACAGGCTTCATACAGCTATTTTATTTATCTATTTATTTATTTTTTTATTATTTACTTTTTTTTTTTTGTCTCTCTGAAACATTCCTTCCATTAACAGATACAGCAGGGTGAAATCTGTTAATATTCCATTATTAGCCACATTTCTCAACATATAACTTTATTTTAATCAGTGCTCATAGACCCTCGGCTGCACAAAACTGTGACCCTTAATATGATTTATCTTGAGTAGACTATCAAGTATTAGTGCAATATTTTTAAATACACGATACGAAACTCAATACCGACGTTCGTGTAAGCTACTCTACGTCTTACACGATTAGCATACTGGTAGATACGGTGCATATGACACATGAAAGTTCTGTTTTCTTTAATGTTTTGATTTTCGTGGTCGCGCATATATCAATGTCTCAACTTTGACCACGCTGAGTTGAGAAGGTGAGACGGTGTTTAATTAGGAACGTGTTATTTGATATACTGTAGCGACCTCTATACTCCCAGCCACTCCGTCATTGAAGTCTGTTGACTTTGTTAAAAAACCTATTATTCCGAATGATGAAAGAAGTCATGTTTATAATCATTAGCGTGAGTATTTCTTGTTATCATACACATCAGATACATCAATGGATACATATAGTGGTAAAACAAAAACTATAAAATCTCAGTTAGAACACTAAGTAAACGCAGAAATCATAGATTTTTTGTTTTCGTTTAAATGTTTAGACCTACAAGTTCATTCAATACAATTTCGCCGTAACTTTACTACTTCAGTAAAAAGGTTTTACAATTTACTTATTACTTTAAAAAGTTATGATCAATTCTTAATTATATTATATTAAATGTGTACAGTTCATGTCCAGTGAACACAACCTGAAAACAGAGGTGTATTGAAAAATACAAGTCCTGAAAAAGCAGCTACACTGTAACGGTTTGCTTGTTTGTTTAGAATTTTTCGCGAATAGCCGTCCCTAATTTTGAGGCCTGACATGGCCTGGTGGTTAGGGCGCTTGATTCGCAGTATGAAGGTCGCAGTTTCGAACCCCCGTCACAAGTTAAGTTCTAAATAAGTTCTTTAGTTAATATTGTAAAATATTACAGTAAATAAACAAGGTTTGTTTAATGCTTTATGGTAATTATATGATTCAAAAATACAGACAGCTAACAAACATTGAAAAAACAAAACAAAAAACGTATGTTTATGTTTAATTCTCTCGTATTGGAAAAATTAAGAAAAAACTTTTACGATACAAATTATGACCTGCAAGATTTCATCCAGCGTGGTTCTCGTTTTTTGTTTTTCTTTTTGTAAAAGTTAAGCTAACTATAATAGATAAGTAAAAGCATTAACAATAAGACTTTCAGCCGTGGGGGCGTTACAATGTGACTGTCAATCCCTCTATTTATTAATAAAAGAGTATCCCAAGAGGTGACGGTGGATGGTGTTGATTAACTGCCTTCACTGCTAAATTAGGGACGGCTAGCGCAGATAGCCCTCGTGTAGCTTTGTGCGAAATTCAAAAGAACCCAAACCCTAATTTTGAAACAGTAGACCAGTGAACAGCAATTAACACCAACTTTTGAGCTATTCTTATCTGACCGAACGAATAGTGGGAATTAACAACTACTATAATGCAACCACGTCCCCATAGTGCGGAGCGTGTTTTCGCAGCAACGAGATGCGAACCATGAACTATTGGATTCATGGTCTAGGCACGCTTACCACTAGACTATACCGTACATCAATACCAGATAAAGGCTGCTATAAGACTTCAACTTTCACTTAAACATACTGACTTAAATGTCTCTGGCCAATAAGTGCTCCCATTTGCAACGATCGCTAGATCTTTTTTTTTTTTTTTACTACAATATATATATATATATATATATTCGATTTTATTACTCGTCAGGATCTCTACGAGCCTACCCTCATTTTGAAATTCTTTTAGGCAAGGTTAGAATAAATCAATCTATGATACCTTGGGCGTGGTCAAATACAAAGAGTTTGACCTCCTGAGTCGAAAACTGTAATTAGATCTGAAATAGGTCAGGAGATGACGGAGCTATGAGCTAAAAGTTTGTACTTAAAAAAAAAATAGTCATTCTATGAGCCGCTATGCTGTTGGAAATTTATAAATTCTCAAAGTAAAATACGAATTACTCAGAAAAAGTTATTTGTACCAAACAACAAAGTTAATAACAATATTCCAAGTAAAACAAGAACACTATCTATAGACAAATATAATGTGTATTGTTAAAGAAATGGATAATTAATGGTGATGAGCCTGAAAATCTATTCATAATATTTACATGAATCTAAAATAAAACATTGTGAATATTTAAAATAAAATCTTATCAACATTTAAAGTATTAATTATCATATGATAAATATCTTAATGTGTACTAAAAAATCTTGTATATTTAACATTTATTTATGTATTATTGTTAATGCATGTACTTATCTATTATAGTTAGCTTAACTTCTACAAAAAGAAAAAAAAACATGTTCCACACTCGAGGAAATCTTGCTGGTGATAATTTGTATCTTAAAAGTTTTTCTTAATTTTTCCAATACGAAATAATTAAACATAAACATACGTTTTTTTTTCAATGTTTGTTAGCTGTCTGTATTTTTGAATCATATAATTACCATAAAGCATTAAACAAACCTTGTTTATTTACTGTAATATTTTACAATATTAACTAAAGAACTTATTCAGAATTACTTGAAAATAATCCTATACTTGTCATGAAAACGTTTTCCTATCATCAATGCCAGAAAGAATTTAAATTATTATGTTTTGACCAGCACGTGTTTCTGGGTAATACTGTAGTTGTGATAACAAAAATCACAAGATATCTTAGCAATTTAGAGATTACAAACCATTGGTGCTTTCCTCTACAACATATAAAAGTCCAGAAGTTACAACTGAACAAAAGAAATATTGGGGTTCAAAGTAAATGTACTACTGGAGATTTTAATTTTTTCTATCCATAACCAACCAAAGCTTATGCAAAAAATATTTTACATTTCTATTTATTTTATTTCATTTTTCGAAACTGATTCACCTTAGGACAAAAATAGGCTATATGATTTTAATTGTTTGCTTATGTTGTCCTGTACACATATTTTTCTAAAGTAAAGACAGTACATAGCCTGTTATCGTTGAAGTTAATTTACGTGATGTTTTATATACAGTAAGACCCCGCTTAGCGTCACTCCGATTTAAGCTGATTCGTTATAGAGCTCTTGTCTCCTTGAGAGATATTTTTTCACGAGAGAGAAAAAAATTATGAAAAATCCATAACTCTCTGAACACTACTTTTTCATACTAATGGTAGTAGTGCACTAGATAATTTATATTTAATAAAATAATGCAACAAAGAACACAGAATAATAACATGCAAAAAGCAGATAATGTTCTCTAACTATCACAATATGTCTGGTGTTTCCAGCTGCACAATATGAAGAGTTAATACGTCACCCATCTACATTTCTTAGGAAATGCTCTACAAATCTCTGTGCAGAAAACAACGTAATATAATACCTCATTTGATAGATGAAAACCTTGCCTATCTATTGGTTAAAATTAATATAGTCGTACACGTAAGAGAGAACTACATGTATTGACAAATCCTGAAAGAAAGGATGTGACAGGTGGGCGTGGGAAAATGGATATGATTTTCTATTTGATGGCTCTGTAACAAAAACAAGATTTTTATAATATGCTTTTTTCCAGCGATGACGATGTTATAGCGAGTAATTTACGTTAAATTTACCAGTAACTAAATAAATCGGTTATACATCCTATGTAAGAAACAATGCCTCCAGTTACATATCTACATATATGTAATGTTCAAATGACCATGTTTAAGTGCTGATTCGTTTAGAGCTCAAGTTTCAGGAACCCTTCCTGAGCTCTAAACGGGTTATTGCTGTATATATAAACTTATAACCACCTAAACCAACATTAAATATTCACCACTTCACCACATTAACCCTTCCTGAGCTCTAAACTGGGTATTACTGTATATATAAACTTATAACCACCTAAACCATCATTAAATATTCAACAATTCACCGCATTACCCCTTCCTGAGCACTAAACTGGGTATTACTGTATATATAAACTTATAACCACCTAAACCATCATTAAATGTTCAACAATTCACCACATTAAACCTTCCTGAGCTCTAAACTGGGTATTACTGTATATATAAACTTATAACCACCTAAACCATCATAAAATATTCAACAATTCACCACATTAACGATTATACAAGTTGCTTTTAATTTGCAATAAAATAAATGTCTCCTGACCTTGGGCAGCAAAAATGAGTTGACCCATTTCGTAAAAGTCTTTTTTTGTATATAAAGTCGTTCTTCTTGAAGTGCTTTAATTCGCCCGGTCTCAAACTTTGAGTCCTCCCTGATGAACATCATTTTGGATTCAGAATCTGTTGTCAGTTGCTCCTGTTCTTCATATCACTGTAGAAAAAAATTAAAACAAGGTAAAATGTCATAATATTTAATGAAAGACTTACATCTAAGACAGACAAAACAGGTTAAACCGCTGTTTATTTAAATCTGTTTTTCCAGCTGGACATTTTTAAGAGAACGAGTCGACTAACACATTATACGTCTGTCTGTCTGCGATTTTAGACAGCTGTTAATACACTACACAACTAATCGTTAATTGATGACCTTCCTGACTTGAACAACAAGCATGTCCTACTGAGGCTCGGTGTACTGATAAGTCAGAGAATGTCTTAGACGAGTTTTCTTCCTCATTAACCCAAGCCACGATCTTAAAACTTTTTTGACTGAACTGTTACGTCATACTCATTCCAAGTATGTTAGAGAGTTTTAAACCCTTTTGATTTGCAAACAAGGTCTTTGATAACATCTTCCAGGAACCAACTAGTGTGACAGACTAAGGGCTTCGTTAGGCTTATTTATCAAATGACTAAGTAAGTCAAGCTAAGGTAAGGTGTTAACCCTAATTATTAAGATAATTAGTCCAGAAACCGGTCTTCTGCCTCGTTAAACAAAGGTGAGTGCTAATGTACAACTTCATGCTGATGTCAAAGTTTGAAATTTTCCGAAGTTGATCTTCGTAAAACAAGATTCACATTCATAAAAACACAGTAAAAATATTTTGGGCTTCAATATTGTTCAAGAAAGGTATAATAACGTGAAGTTTAATAAAATACTGATTAGCAGAGAAGCCAATTACAGGCTGCGCTTTTGATAAGAAGGGATCAAAATCGTTCCGATATCCCACATCATACAAGCAAACACTCGTCACTTCTATTGAATACAAAACGTCAATATTGACAAAAATCTTGAACAAACCGAATTGACGTTGTTAGCACCCACACAAGCAAGGCAAAAATATTAAACTGACCATAAATATCCAAGCAATGTATCTTATACAGAAACCAGGAGAAAATATTAAATTGACCATAAATATCCAAGCAATGAATCTTAGTGAAAACATTAAAATGACCAAAAATATCCAAGCAATGAATCTTGGTGAAAACATTAAAATGACCAAAAATATTTTTCGAACGTATCGCGTATAATTTACTACACGGGAATTTTGCAAATCAGACTTTTTGTTGTTGTTTTTTTTTCTTACAGATTCCAGAATAAAACAATTAATTTATATCCAGAATTCACTCAACACGAATTGAACGCTTTTACTCGAAATAATTACTTTTAATTTAAAGTCAAATAGTTACTTTACTTTAGAAAACTTGCTCTACTTGAGTGAACGAATATCATTTATGCTAAATTAAAATAAAAGAGAAGTTTAGACTAAAACCTGAAATAACTAGAAGAGTATAGATTATTCCTCACGAGACTTTCCGAAAATCTAAACTTCAAGTGTGTCACAATCTACTTATCGTAAGGGTAAGATTGACATTACAGGTTTTCTAGTCCCCATTGTCAGGCCCCTCAGTGGCACAGCGGCATGTCTGCGAACTTACAACGCTAGAAACCTTGTTTCGATACTCGTGGTGGGCAGAGCAAAGATAGCCCATTGTTTGGCATTGCACTTAACTACAAACAAACAAACCACTGTCATAATTTTCTTGTTAAGGTATGTAACTGAAATGCCACTCGCAGGAATATCTGACACCTTTGGCCTCAATCTATCCCGTCTCCTAGCAACTGTTAACATGTGCATCCGCGTTGAGTTGTGTAACATCCCACAACGCTTATTATAAATGAGATCACCCTGTTTCAAATAAAATACGTTAACTAATCGAATAACAAAAATAATTTTTAATACATGTAAAATGGTATCACACAGTCCCATTCTGTAGTATCTTACCTTGAAGCGTTAAGAGTAACATTCACACACCACAAAGAGCAGAGATTCGATACTAAATCGGACGGATATCCACCCACCAGTATCGTAAATGATAGAAAAACAGCAATATAAACACGCGCGCTTCAAGAGTGAGAGAACTAAGCTAAACTTCCGGTTTGCTATGAATCAGATAGCAACAGATGAGTTCCTTAAATATCTTACACATCATACTATACAACCCTCACTCACTTCCCAATAAGGTAAATTACTGCAAGTTCCACGAACTAAGTGGAGCCTATACGTTCAAGCAACGAACTGCAGATGTTCAAGTGCTATGGGGGCTCACCGAAAGATTTTCTTCTATTTATGCACAATGTAGCTAGTCACTACAAGCGACTGTTTGAAAAATTATTTCAATCAACGTTTTTTTTTGTTTTTTTTGTATTCCATTTTTACGATGTACTCGAAGTTTTCTCGGAATTATCAAAGTAGTCACTGGATAATATAGATGCCAACCCCACATATTTGAAATATTTCTTCTAATCAAATAAGCTTGCTTGTTGAAACACGAGCAGCACAGCAAAGGCCTGTAAAGGTCAAAGTGTTTTGCATATTTTATCCTAACTTGACTAATCTGTTATTGGTAAATTATACACAGGCCGGCGACGGTATTTATTGTCTTGACATTTTTACATGTTCTACAGTAATTCCTATACGCTGAATCCGAAAATGATATCCATTTTTCTCCATCACGTGCAGATTTTTCACACAACGTCATATGTACTTTTACATAAGTGAATCATTTTCATTAAAATCGGGTCACATTTTGTTAATCTTAGACTGTTGACTATCACTGGCGATAGATTTCTATAGACCAATCGAGACGTGAGAGTCTTATCGATCGTTCTAGAACACATGAGAAACATACATATTAATAAAAAATGTTCATTGTGGTAAACGAAATAATAATTTGATCTAAGTAAGACGGTTTTTTCTTCCCAATTTGTAAAAAATCATTACGTGATAGAAAAAACGTATATTATTTCCGAGGCCTGCATAGCTGAATTATGGAAAATCCGTTATTAAAATCAAAACAACTTTTATGAAGTTTAAATTCGCAAGCCTGTGTTATTCATAAACTGTTATTTTAGCAGTGTGATTTGCTTTATGAAATAAAGTACAATCATAACATAATAATTTCACTGGAGGATTTCCCTCGTAAATCATAAATCAATTTAACACGACAAAAGTACCTAATTTAAAAAAAATTATAACACGTTTATTCGCTCTACATTAAAAATTGCATTTCCTTATTTAGTCCTTTATTCTCTCCTTTCTATGTAATTTTTTCAGTTCAAGTTAAACATTTTAAGACCTATCATTTCTCTTCAGACACATTGTACTACTGTATTAAGAGTCAAAAACAAAAACGACGATTTGGGGCACAATGAAAGATAAAATCTTTATCAGATATTTCAGCCGACTAGCTTCGGTGACACAGTTACCATCACCAGCCCTTCGTTTTTGTTTTTTGCTCTTGATTTTATTAATTTTAAGACTTACCAAATAACTTTTTCTGAACACGGGCATCGAGTAGGATCTAGAGTAAATACTAGAAACGACCAGAGAGTACTGGACTACAGTAAAGAAAAACAGACACCAGGAACTCGACTTTCAGGATTTCAGCTGCAACACACATGTGGAAATAATATACACACGTACTTCAGTATAGTCACTATAACATACGCCTGTACTTCATGATCACTCCTTCAGTTCTACATAAGTTCACTATATCTACACCAGGTGGTCTTGATATTTCGAAGCTTGCATTTCTGCTAGACAGTCCAATAACTCGGATAGTTTGGCGATAGTAATAGAGAAAAATAGTTCGGCTTGTCAACTGAAATTCTAAAGCAATTGAATAGGCCTAAGTGTACTTTTGGCAAGAAGAAGAGAACTATTAGTGTTTATGATATGCCTGTAATCTCTATAGTGTAAATAATTTGTCGTACATACGTTTAACTAGTTCCGAATATATATATTATTTTGAAAACAAGTGGAGTGAGTGCTGTTCGTTTATTTTTAGAATTTATCGCCAACAAGTCACAGACACCTACTGTAGCTCCAAAACAACACACAGTATATACTTATACTGTTGAGAAGCATAAGTAAAAGCCTTTAATTGACAATTAGCGAACATAACATTTGACAAGGTTGCAAACCATGAATCCTCGGAGTCACAGGCCAGATATGCTTACTGCTTGCCATGCCCGGTCCCCTAAAGAATAGAATTACACAGAATAATATTTGATGGTATTAGTACACCCTCCATATGAACTTTGTTCTTTTTCTAGAACTTTTGCGAAAAACTAAACAAAGGACTATCTGCACTAACTGTCACTCATTTTGAACTGAAAGATTAATGAGGGCAGTTAGTCAACAGTACCCACCGCCAACTTCTGGGCTACTCTAATCTAATAGTGGGATTTGACTGTAACTCTTATGACGCCCCAAAGTGAAGCTCAGCATTTTATAGGTACGGACGCGAACTCGGAACCATCGAATTTATATTTTGGGCATGCTAGCTACTAGGACACGCAAAGTCCTCATATGAAATAGATGTATTAGTAAGTCAAGGTTGGTTTGTTTGTTTAAGTGCAAAGTCACATTGAGCTATCTGCTGTGCCCAACGTAGGAAATCGAACCCCGGATTTTAGTGATGTAAGTTCGTAAACTTACCGCTGTCCCAGGAAAGTCACGGAACTTCACAAATGCGCTTGGGAATAGCCATTCACAAAAATAGCACGCACAATGTAAAAATACCTAGCGTCAACAAATTGAAAAGTTATACAAATATTGTGCAGGAAACTACAATACCAGGAAATAAAATATATACAGGGAACTCATCACGTTCTCCGACACAACAGTAAATATTTAATCCGAAGTATAATACAAGTTCAGAGATGCCACACTAATATTGATTACGTTCAGAGATGCCACTCTAATTTGATTAAGCACAAGAAAACACTCACTAAAGGTCAACAATGTTAGTTAAACTAGAAGGGCACTCGAAGAGTGCAACCCTCGCCACGAAATGTTTTCGGGTTTTGTTGTAACAAACCCAAAATATACACCAAACAATTCTTCGCCCTTGAAAATGCAGATCTCGAAGCCAAGAATCTTGTTCTCTCTCAATTTGTGCTAAAGTTTTGGCCATTTTAAAACTCCCAATTTGCTATTATTATTACAACGAAATTGGTCGACTTTGATCTACACTGAATGGCGAAAACTTGACCAATTGGTCCATGGTAGACACTACCAAATTTCAACAAAATCAGATGAAAGTTATTCGAAGTACATATAAACACGAGTGAAAGTAATACCCCATACTGTCGGACTGAGTAATAGAAATACCCAATACTGTTGGACTGGGTAATAGAAATACCCCATACTATCGGGCTGGATAATAGAAATACCCCATACTGTCAGGCTAGGTAATAGAAATATAAGCCCAAAGATGCGACACTGATAAACAAAAATATACAAGATCACAGGTACAACAATATTAGTTACACGATAATACATCATATTAGTTACACACAGAAATACAAATTGAAAAACGTGACAATATTAATCCATCACAAGAGTACAAGATCAAGGAAGTGACAACAATAGATAAATACACGTCCGTTTAAAATGTATAGGTAATTCAACTGTTACAAAAACTGAAAGTATTACAGGTTTCCAGTGTATTTACAAAGAGTGATTTCAGTGTGTCTTTGGGTTTTGGCATCTTAGCTATATGAATGGAAGATCAGATAAAATGAAAGAGATTAGCTCAGACAGAACAGCCGCTATTGGTCGATGATCAGAATATGACCAGTGAAAACTCAGGTATAGTTCGATGAACAGATAAAACAAACACAAATAGAACGTAACTAAGCTACGAGCCGATAATCAGATAGTGTAACAAACTCTGTTAATACACAAAGAACAATTCTGTTATTGTTCGGTGACCAGAGAGAGATGAGTTACCTACCTCTGATTATTGGCATATAGCTGAGTTGTTCTCTCTGATCATTGACATATAGCTAAGTTATCTCTCTCTGGTTGCTTCCTCTGATCATTGACATATAGCTGAGTTGTTCTCTCTCTGATCATTGACATATTGTTAAGTTATCTCTCTCTGGTTACTCTCTTTGATCATTGACATAAAGTAACCAGAAAGAGATAACTTAGCTATATGTCAATGATCAGAGAGAACAACTCAGCTATATGCCAATAATCAGAGGAAGTAACCAGAGAGAGATAACTTAGCTATATGTCAATGATCAGAGAGAACAACTCAGCTATATGCCAATAATCAGAGGAAGTAACCAGAGAGAGATAACTTAGCTATATGTCAATGATCAGAGAAAGAACAACTCAGCTATATGCCAATGATCAGAGGAAGTAACCAGAGAGAGATAATTTAGCTATATGTCAATGATCAGAGAAAGAACAACTCAGCTATATGCCAATGATCAGAGGAAGTAACCAGAGAGAGATAATTTAGCTATATGTCAATAATCAGTAAAAGTAACCAGAAGAACAAATTATCTATGTGTCGAGAAAGTAACGAAATCTGCTATTGGTCAATGATCTGTGAAAGTAACTAAATAGAATAACTCCACTATAAACTGACGTCACAGATAGTATCCATGCATACGTAACAACTTAGCTACTGGCCGATGGTTAGAGGAAAGCCTCCTAAGGGGCCTAATTCGTCCAAATAATAAAATTAGCGCAAATGTGAAAAGTTTTAAAATCGAAGCATAGCTGGTCTTTGATACAAACATTTAGAAATCTTAATGTTAAACCGTAAGTTGGCTAAAAGAAAACGTCTGCACTCTTACAATGCTGTCATTTGGAGTTGATAGTTTATTGACATAAATTTTAAATGTAGTTGTAATGCCAATAAAATAACTATCTTTCCTGAAGAACCCGTAGAAACCTGTCATTTGGACAACGTTTTCTTTCCGTCTACGTTTACTATTGTTTTATTGACCTTCAAGCCACGTGCCTAATTTTTTTATTCTGTGGAAGTTTTTCTCTTTAGTCCCCACGTCCGAAAAAAGAAAACTTTTTCTAGCCACATAAACTAGTGCATGAAGTCAATAAACAGATAAAGACAACAATCCACGGTGGTTAACCCTAAAAATACCGACTTGTTGTTTTAAACCTTTCTCTACAAGTAGTATCATCATTGAATAATCTTATATTTCCACCTGTTATTAACAATGATTGCCAAGAACTAGTCAAAAATGGGTCAAATCACTCATTTTGTATGTAAAATACATAGAATACCTCAGCAGTAGCTTGTAAGACAAAGTTCAATATTGATGGTATATATTTTATTCACATTATTTTACTTTTTATTAGGAACCCTGTATCCAAAAAAGTCATGGATCCACAAGCAATTTGGTTCATAATCAGTTCCGAAAAATTTAATGAAAAAACTTATGAGGTCTACTTTAACTATTGCCGAAACGTGTAGATTTAAAAATATTCTCACATCAGTACAAAAATACCATGATTTCGATTGATTTTGGTACAAAATAATACAGTGTTAGGCTACCTGGTAAATTACTAGCCCGCTTGAGTTATAAAAACTATACTAGCCCTAAGCACCATCACGATCGTTGTATTTCCGAATACAGTTTCTAGCTTTATGTTATTACATGCAATTTTAAATCTTGTTATTAACAACTGTTCCAGAAAATAAACATTAGTTTGACTTTAATCTCACTGAACAGAATTCAAAGAGTTTGATAATTAACATTGTTAAAAAATTTTCAGTAATTTATTGTAACCTCAATGATAATTATAGAGGGCGCCACATAAACTGTTCGAAAAGAAATTGCAGCATAATAACATTTCCAGTAATTACGAGTACGCAACTACACATATGATTAGTACGGTTTAAAATCAACTATAAAACACGAGTATTACTAACAGTATACAACATCTATTGTGGCTAGTATAGTATCATGTAAAACTACTGTATACAACATCTATTGTGGCTAGTATAGTATCATGTAAAACTACTGTATACAACATCTATTGTGGTTAGTATAGTATCATGTAAAACTACTGTATACAACATCTATTGTGGTTAGTATAGT